CCTGCTCTTTCTCAGCATAAGTTTGAGCCCTTAGCCTCATGTACCATGTATCACCTTTCCCTTAAGGTTTATTTTGTGTTGCTGCTAGCCTGCGGACATCGCTTGTCTGAGTTGTTTGCACTACATATGCACAGGGCACTTTATCATTCTAACAGTGTCCTCCTATACTCAGGTCTTTCTTACCTAAGACACTGGCAGCCAGGGAAGAGAATAAATCATTTTCATCAATTTATCGGGCCACTATTTCTCACCTCTATGGCTGATTGGATCCTGAACATTTGTTATGTCCAATGAGGGCATTGAAGTGTTATGGTGCCTGCAATAACACCTTTAGAGGTGCTAGACAATGACATTTTCTATTCCTTGGAATCCTTCAGTTATTTGAGTCCCCAGTGCTCTCCGACCTCCTTAAGTCATTTTGGGACCTTCATCCAAAACAACCATTTCAGTTACCTAACTAGATATTAAGGTGGTATTACCCCAGTTACTTTGTAGAGGTGGGTATGAAAATTGATCCATATTGCTTATTCTGTGCTCTCTTTGGAGTTGAGAAGACTTGTTTGAGTCACGTCTCATCAGATTCATCACATTTTTATGTCTTTAGCTGCCTGGTTGAATTGCTCGCTGGAGGACACTGTGCAGGCTAGTAGGTGGACCTCTCCCAATACTTTTATCTCACATTATTTGTATGATCAGGCAATATCTTCCTCTGAGGGTTTTTGACTATCCCCTGAACTTATCCTAACCACATCTGCTAGACTATAAGGAAGTGTATCTTCATTCCTAATATTGTCTCTTATTTACTTTCCAGGATCGTTTACTTCTTTTTCACAGGATCCCACTCACTGGTGAGTGTTGCCCAGGCAGGTGTGTTTTATCAACCCAATTCTGCACTAGCAACCATAAACACAGTATACTTTATGTATGTTGCAACAAGTGCTGTGGAAATGAGGTGTTCCATAAGACCACCTGGAGGCAGACCAGGTGGTATTACTGAACTGTGCTGCACCACCACTCATGGGCTATCATGATTAAAGCAGGAGGGGATCCTGTCCGGCCTTGCCGATCATTTGATTAAAAACTCGGGGTTGGTTTGCTTTTAAAAAAATTTAGGGAACTTGGTTTACCTATTGCACTGTTTCCAGAGCATTGTTCCTCAAGACTCCCCAACATGCATTACCACCCAGATTCTACTAGTGGAGCTAGGGAGTGCTTACCACACACTGTTTCCAGTCACAAGGGTAGTGGACAGAGGTTATTCCTTCAGAGTGTTCGAGTGAATTTGCCCCACTCTCGGAGAAGAGGTCAAAGCTGATGGCCCTCCTACTTGGGACCCTATTTTTTTTTTCCCAGATGTTGGTAGGAGAGGCACCAGCCTACTCGTAATACCAGTTCAAAGTTCACACTCGGCTATCAGGTTGGATTGAGCATGGCCCTTCTTTTTGATCAATATTGGTTCAGTACATTGTTCATGTAAGAGGGTTCATTGTCTCCTCATAATTCCAAATGCACAGTGGTCCCATCCTGGGTCCTTTGTTGAGCACAGCTTGTTCCACGTCCTCCCCATAATTTTGGGGACAAGTGGAATTTTCCTTGCCCACATAGTTTGGGAGTGAGGATG